ATCGTTTGGCTGTTTTTTTGTTGTGGCCGAGCCTTGTCACCTGATGGCAGGTGGTGTATCATTTATGACTTCGCGTTCGGTAAGATTTTACATTCTCGCATTCCTCAAATTCCTGGACCACAACAGTTTAATAGTTTGTTGGAAGTTCATGGTTTAAAAGCCCGTTCCCACAGCCTTTTACTCCTCATAACCATGACGACAGGGAACTTACGCAAACCCACAAGGAGAGTGGGAATATCCGATGTGAACATTCACAGAGGAAGGCGATTAATAATAAGTGTACACCAACAGAGACGAGCGTGCAGGTAAAATAACATTCCTACCTTATCTGTGTTTCTCTCAGGCAAAGAAAAGCGAAATGAAGCTTATTTTCAGACCTATTGACATTTTGGGGGTAAAATGCTTTTTTTCTTGTTTGTCTATGTTTTTAAAAAGCTTGACTTGAAAGATCACAAAGATAATGGCTTCAGCAGGTAATAGCTGTCAGGGTTAGTGACTGTGTGCGTACTTACAGGCAAATGTGACAGCCAGTTTGCACACAGCAGAACCTCACAAACGGGCATGAAGCGAATGACAAATTTTATCTGGAGGATTGTGGGCTAAGAAAGTGGGTGAAAGCTTTAAACAAAACCTTTAATAATCCAGCCGCTTGTTTGTCCCTCGTCCTCTCTGTTTCACCATCGGTGGCCGTGCCTTCAACCCCTACGCCCCGAAACACTGGAACTCTCTCCCTCAATCCCTCCGCCTTGCCCCCACCTCTCTCCCCACCTTCAAATCCCACCTAAAGACCTTCCTTTTTGATGGTGCTTGCGGTCACTTCCCCCCTCCCTCTCCCCCTGGCTCCGCCACTGTCTAGCGCTCCGGGACCCTAGCCCACGCGAAGGGCGCTGTGTAAATACATGTTATTGTTGTTGTTAATGTTTGCAGACAAAAGGCCAGTCACATGAATATTCAGTTTTACAGCTTTCTTGGGCACAGAAAGTAGCTGTACAAACGAAAGACCAGTCTTGAGCTAATGCGATCAGAACAGCGCTGAGTGTGTTGCTTTTGCTGATAATGAGCTTCCATAAATAGGACTTTTAGTCAGCACTCGCTGCCTGAGTTGGCTTTAGGCTGCGGCAAAATCAATAGTTTATAGGTATTGTGTTTTAATAATTCATATTCTTACACAGTCCAATCCTATGGATCCAGTAACTAGAATTGCGAACACTTCGAAAATCCCAGTCTTGATTTGGGAGTCAATTCTTTTTAAGATCTGTGGGGAACAAACAGCTTCCAAATTAATAATAATAATCCTTACATTGATATAGCGCCTTATCACGTCTTTGAGACGTCCCAAAGCTCTTCATAGAATACACTGTAAAGTGAATCGACTGTATAGTTTGTGGGCGAAACGCAGCAGCCAATTGTGCACAGCAGCGTCCCACAAACAGTCGTGGATTTAGTGACCAAATTGTTATTAATATTTAATGTTATTAGATTAAGTCTGAGTTGAGGAATTTTCTGCAGTTCAAATATGCGATCTTAAATTTAAAGACAAAATGGTTCTACGGGCTGAATTTTGGTGGCATTTGACCACTTTTTGGAGCAGTTGATAGTGTTTTGGAGGTGACTTTGGGACCACTTTGTTTTTATGTGTCTGCACACTTTGAGCTTGGAAGTTAATGGTCAAAACTCGCTACAGCACCTTAGCCAAGATCAACAAGCATGAGATAAACCAGCTCGTCAAAGCTGGTTGAACATAGTCCATAAACTCAGTGTCTCCTGCAGCACATTTGCCTGATGCATTGTTGGTCATGTTTTACACACACAGTGAGACAAGTTAATTACAGTAGCAAACAAACACAATACAAACACAATGTTTTTCCGGGCTTTCACAACTGTTGTGCCATTCAAGTAAATTAAATAATCCTCTCATTTGATTGTAACGCCTTTCACACGGCAGGAGGACTTCTCAAAGCAGTTCACAGGATTTTACTGTAAAGTGTGGTGACTTTGTATTTTGTAGACAAGTGCGTCAGATAACCTGCACATATCAACATCCCACAAAAGTGAATGAGTGATTTTATCAGGACATCAGAACCATGGGATTTTTAGAATCCACTTGAACAGGCAGATAGGACCTCAGTTTATCATCTCATCCAAGGGACGGGAATCTGTGACTTCTCTGAATGTTTCTGACTGTCTGAATTCGTTTGGAACCTATAATAACACAGAGAATGTAGTAACAAGATCCTACCTGATCACTTCTTAGGAGAACTTATATTAAAATACAGCTTGCACTGGAGCAAAAGCCCAGGTCAAACGACACATTTCTAATGGACGGCCTACATTATTAAACACACTTCCCTCTCGCATCGCTGTCCACACCGCGTCCTTTATTCATTTCCTGACACATTAATGAATTAAGATTCAAGGATCAGAGACATGGTAATCGAGAAAAAAATTCAGGACCTGGAGAGTTGATTGTAAAAATGACCATATTCCTGCTTTGGAACACTCTGGAACTCTATCCCACAATCCCTCGGCCTCATCCCCTCTCTCGTTTCCTTCAAGTCCCGTCTAAAGCCCTTCCTCTTCGACCGTGCCTTCGGCCACCCTCCCAACCCCACCTCCAGCCCCTGCCCTCCACCTCTCCTGACCCCAACTCCCAGCTCTATCGTCAGGTGCTATCTATATAACTGTAATTTGTTTTTGCTGCTGCTTGATGAAAGAGAGGGAAGGATGGAATGTGACAAAAGTTAGAATCAAGTGGTTGTATCTCTGAGAGATCAGAGAATTTCTCCCGGTGTCCTGGCCAATAAGCCCCCAAATAAACTTGGTCATTCACTTCATGGCTGCATGTCTGTGGGATGTTGCTGTGCACAAATTGGCTGCTGCAGTTACTCACAAACATACAGTCACGACACTGCGAAAACGCATTGAGAGGTGTTTACGACGTGATAAGGCACTATATTAAATGCAAGGATTATTATTATTATAGATAGAAATCAGTGGCATAAAATGTATGATTGTCTCTAACCTGGTGCAGTTTCACAGAGGAATGCACAAACTAATTCAAATCGTCTGTAGTGCACGAGCTTTTGTTGCTCTAGAAGTGGAGTTTTGATATTTTTTCTGGGCTGAGAGAGTTTGCTTGTCTGCGTGACCTGGAATATGAAATAAGGTGGTGAATCTTAAAAGGGTACATGTTGTTTCATACTTGAAATGGTTTGAATAGCTGTGCAGTGAAGTAGAATTTGTAGCTTGAAAATTCTCCCGGAAAATTAAACCCACTTTCGCACCTACTTACCTTGTCAATAGATGCTCCGGCACAGGCTTGGTCAAGTAAGGATGAATAAAAACGGTACTTTTTTTATTTTATGGTTAAACTTTGACGAAATGAGAAATTATTTTGATTGCAGTCCGTCCGGGTGATCTTGATATGTTGTTCTCACCTTCACAGCCCTCCATGGCCTCGCTCCCCTCTACCTCTGTGACCTTCTAATGCCCTACCAACCTGCCTGATCTCTCCGCTCAACGAGCTCCAGCCTGCTTCACGTCCCCCACCTCGCTAGCCCCACCATTGGTGGATGGGTTCCTGGAACTCGTCCCCCGAAATCCCTCCTCCTCGCCCCTTCCTTTGCCTCCTTCAAGACCTGACTCAAGACCCTCCTCTTCGACCGTGCCTTTGGTTACCCTCCTTCCCCTCCGCTCTCCACCCTCTCCGATCCCCCAGCCTGGGTCCGAAACACTGACTATCCAGCGCCTTGGGATGTCCTCCCAACGTGAAAGCTTTACAAATGTAGTTTTGTTGTTGTTGTTGTCGAGCAAGTATTCACCAGGATGACGTGGTATTTGTTTGTTGCAGCAAATGATAGGAATTTCAGGCCCGGCAAATAAAATTTCAATTCAGATCTTTCTCGTTTGTTAAATTCCGCGTTTGGAATTCGGGAGCAGAAGAGGTTTTGGGGGGATTGGGAAGTCCTTAGGATGCCTTGGGACGTCCTCCCGACATGACAGGCGCTACACAAATGGGCCCCAAATATACAGTCGGTTCACTTTACAGTATATTCTGTGAAGAGCTTTGAGACGCCTCAAAGACGTGATAAGGCGCCATATCAAATCCAAGGATTATTTTTTATTTATTTCATTTGTTGTTGAGTGAATGCTGGTGGATTCCCTCAGCCCTTCAGGCTTTCAAGACTGATTGGAGTCCTGTGCCACCAAGGAATACGTACCAGCGTTAGGCAAGGTGGGTGTCCTGGGGTTGAAACTGACTCCAAGGAGACGAGTCTGGCAGAGCTGGGAAAGTCCGCAATAATCCAAGGCTTTGGCGTGGCAGACCAGCCTGTATCATCAATTAGACATGGAAATGCCAAACCCCTGATGGGCAGATGGCTGGAGCTGAACTGTTGCTGTGCTGTGTAAATTTTCTTTTCTTTCAATGCCATTTAAAGAGAAGAATTTGCAGATGCCATTGGAGGGAGGGGGAGGAGGATTGGCTCCAAGGATACATGATTCTTTTAAGAACTTAGTTTGGTGTAGGTGGTCCTCCCACGCCTCTGACTGTAAGAGCTTATTAAAACCCAAGTTACTTTGCTGCCGTCATCAGCAGCAGCCATGTATGATTGTCTCTAACCCGGTGTTGTTTCACAGGCGATCGTTGGACATTTTATCATTCAAGACACATTTTGTGTTTGCTTCACGGAGCAAGCTCAGACCCTAAACTGGAGCCAGAAGTTCCGTGACCCATTGAAAATAAGAATAAAATAGTAACTAGAGATATTTTTAATTGGCAGTGTCCGATTGGCTGGCTGTGTGAACAATTTTAACTCCTGGGTTCACAAAAGCGCTTATTTCTGTCTTAAGCATTCAAATCTATTGAACGCGTAATTGCTTAAAGATTATTTTATGAATGTGCTCTGTGTTAAAAATGTTTTGTAATCATTTTCAGGTGGAGCGATATCAGCTATTGACAGATGAATATTAAGTGACTTGGCTTGGCTTGGCTTCATTTCTTAAATGCTCCAGACTGAATTGGGAAGCCAGATACGAGTGATTGTCAGTTAGCCTGGACACTGGATGCTGGGACCCGTGTACATCATGCATCAGCTTTTCAGTGCGGTGCTGGGACAAAGGGATCTATCTCGTGCGGGAGATCTTTTCTCTCTGGAGGACACTGAAATTGAAGACAGTCTATCGCACGCTCTTGAGCAAATCAAACTGATTTCCTCTTCACCAGTAAGTACCAATCGTACGATCATAGAAGCTTACAGCACAGAAGGAGGCCATTCGGCCCATCATGCCTGTGCAAAAGCTACCAACTAATCCCACTACCCCACTCTTGCCACATAACCTGCATCTTTTCCTTTTCAAGTACCGATCCCATTCCCTTGTGAACTGTGTGCGATGTATCTGAAGGGGCAAATGAGAACACGGCTGTACATGGCTCTGCCAAATAACCATTAAATGTGTGGAGAGGTAATAGCTGACAATATTTAAACTCAAGTCCCTGCTTAGATGATTTACATTAATATAGTGGCCGAAGGGTGATGAGATCTAATTGTAGTATTCTGAAATTGCTAGCTGTTAAGGAGAGTTTGATTATATTTTGTGGCATTAGAAGATTGAAGACCGCACAATTAATTGAATAACCCGTTCTGTTTTGTTCCTTACCAGGATTATCTGACCAATAGCAATGATCAGGCGGTGGTGGAAATCTGCATTACCCGAATTACGACTGCTATTAGAGAGACCAAATCAATTGAGAAGCATGGAAAGGCTTTAGTAGCATTATGGGAATCGTGCTTAGAACATAATCTGAAACCTGTCAGCAAGGATGAAGATACTCCACATGCCAAAATCGCTTCCGATATAATGAGTTGCATCTTTCAGGTAAGTTAAAAACGGAAACAGTGACTATGTGTGCGTGTGTTTGTGTGTGTGCGCGTGTGTGTGTGTGCATGTGTGTGTGTACATGTGTGTGTGTGTGTGTGCATGTGTGTGCGCGTGTATGTGTGTGTTCATATGGTATGTGTGCGCGCGCGTGTGTGTGTGCATGTGTGTGTTTGCATGCGTGTGTGTGTGTGTGTGTGTGTGCGTATGTGCATCCAATTTCTTTTACCTTTTTGTAGGTGTGTGTTCACTGTGCAGTATTGCGGATTGATTTCCAAATGGCACATGGAGTCTGAAGGAGGTGTATTTGGACTGTGACCCATAATGCCAAGAGATTTTCTTTGTTGTGATCACTTCTAAGCTTCATTGGGAGGTTTCCCCAACTTTCTCATAAAGAGTGAATCAACTGGTTATCACTTAGCATTGGTTCCCACTTCACCACCATTTTGCCCACAAAATATACAGTCACTACACTTTACAGTATATTCTGTGAAGTGCTTTGAGATGTTTCGAAGATGTGATGAGACGCTACATCAAATCCAAGGGTTTATTATTATTCTGCGTTGCTCTGCAATGCTGGCCTGTATCAAACAAGCTTTGTGGACAGTATATTTTGTCCTGGAGCTCCTCTGCAGAATAATTTTAAGTTTATTTTTTGCATAAATCCACGTTCTGGATGAATCTTTGAACAAATCTCTGGCACCGTTGCCTGGAGTGGGAAGTCCCTTTGAAAGGGAACCCTCATTGTCAGTTTCCTTACATGAGATAGGGAAGAGCATCCATACAGTACATCTCTGTGGAAATGCAAAGTTATTTAGCACAGAAGTTGGAGAATGGATTGTCAGAGAATATATTAAAAATGGAAATTTCTCAGAATAATAAAGCATCTGCTAGAAAGAAGTACGTCCGACATTAGGATATTAAGAAAACCCCAACAAAGGCCACTCGTGTTAATAGTTTTATGCAAAAGGACCTTTCATCCAAATATGAATATTTTCCTATTACAAACATACAATCTGCTAAATCATATTTCCTGCCTCAGCAAAGCTGACAATCAGCCCCACTTTGCAGAAGAGCTCTGGATAACTGAGTCGCTATGTCAGGCACGAGCACAGAATCAGATAATGCCTCTCGCCTTTGATGTAGGGCCTTATCAATTGGCCCAAAACCTTTCAAAGGGCTTCAAGGATTTCACTGCAAAGTGCAGTGACTGGTGGGGGTGCATTTTGTAGGCAGACAATTTGCGTACAGCAGTGTCCCGCAAACAGCCAGGAAATTAATTAACGGTTTTATCGGGGTGACTGTTGGCCAGGAAACCCCGAGGGAAATTCCCTTCTCTTTTCGAAACGTGCCAAGTAATGTTAGCGCCAACTAAACTTCTAAGCTTGTGCTTTCTAACATGCGCATGACTCACATTTGTCTGAGCCCAAACACTGCTCTAAGATCCCCTCTTGAGGGCACTGCAGCCCGTTTTATACTGTGAGCTGCTGCGTTGAGGCTGGTGGACCAAAAATAAATTAAGCACCAGGTTTCGACCCTCGTTTCATTTCTCCTCTATTATTTCTGTGATTGTAGTTTTTTTTTCAAAAAGATAAATCAGCTCAATGTGCGTAAAACTGAGGCCCTCCTGATTGGTTTGCGTCAGCGCCTCCGCACCTCAGGCGCTGACAGCATCAGCATCCAAGGCTGCACTCTCCACCTCTCAAAGCCATCAGGAACCTCGGGGTTCTGTTCGACCCTGAGCTGTCCTTTCTCCCTCATATCCGCACCACAACCGGCACCGCCTTCCATCACCTCCGGAACATGACCAGACTACGGCACTACCTCACCCCTCACGCTGCTGAAACCCTGGTCCACGCCTTTGTCACCTCAAGGCTGGACTATGGGAACTCTCTCCTCGTCGGCCTTCCCGCCACCTCCCTCCACACTGCAGGTCATTCAGAACTCTGGAGCTCATGTACTGTCCTGCACCAGACACCGCGACCACATCACTCCCACCCTCACCCTCGCCCTCGCCCTCACCCTCGCCCTCACCCTCACCCTCGCCCTCACCCTCGCCCTCGCTCGCCTCCACTGGCTCCCCATCCCCCAGAGGATCAAATTCAAGATCCTCATCCTCACCTACAAGGCCATTCACGGCCTCGCTCCCTCCTACCTCCCTGACCTACTATCCCCCTCCCTACCTGCCAGTACCCTCCGTTCCTCTGGCTCCGGTCTGCTCCACATCCCCCGCCCCAACCGCCCTACCATCGGTGCGGCCTTCAGCCTCTCAGCCCCGAGGCTCTGGAACTCTATCCCCAGTGCCTTCGCCGCCTCCTCCCTTTCCTCCTTCAAGGCCGGTCTCAAGACCTTTCTCTTTGACCGAGCCTTCAGCTCCCCTCTCGACTCTCTACCCCCTCCTCACTCCCTCCCTTCCCTCCCCTCACCCTGACCATTTCCTCCCAATGCTCGGGTCCTGACCCAACTGTACAGCACCTTGGGACGTCCTCCCGACGTGAAAGGCGCTCTATAACTGGAATCTTGTTGTTGTTGTTGTTCTTGCTGCTGGCAGTCAGGAATAGCATTGATCGTTTCTGGCACTTTTGTTATTTATGCATTCATTGATCAAAGAGAAAATCCTGCTGTTCCTCACATCTCTCTCTGGGGGTAACAATCTCTTAAAAATAAAATTTGAAAGAATGATAATATGTCACGCCATCCACCACTGTTTGTGGGGACGCTGCCGTGCGCAATTGGCTGCCGCGTTTCGCCCACAAAATACAGTCAATTCATTTTACAGTATGTTCTGTGAGGCGCTTTCGAGAATATATCAAATGCAAGGATTATTATAGGAGTGTTGGAGTGTTAGCCTAGACTCAGCTCAAAGTCCTGCGGTGGCGTTTGAACCCACAAACTTCTGACTCCAAGGCAAGAGTGCTACCAACTGAGCCAAGCCAACACCACTTTACTTCATTTGTCTATTGCAAATGTCTTCCATAATTGACTTGTTCTAATAGTTGGGAAACCCTACAGCTCCTTATCTACTTCATGGAGACCCAACACTTTCATCGGTTAAATCCACCATGAAGATTTCTACTGTAGTGAGAATTAAAGTGCTCGATTGACTCATTAAGGCTCTCAAAAATATATATAATCTCTTTGCACTCACCTTCTGCCATCAAGCTTCAAATGGTTTGCAAAGTAAATTTATACCATTATATAAGTGGCCAAATTAGTGCTGTAAAGCATTATCACAAAACCACTCGCAGTAAAATTGAATGGAAGTGCCCAGAGATTAGTGTGGTGTTTGGTAATTTAATGAAATATTTAAAGCAAGTCACTGCCTCGAGTTCACTTTTCAACCTGGAATAAATCGCGTTCTGAACAGGGAGTGCATTCCGTGTTGTCTTAATGAATTGCTGTAAAGTTTCGCCCACAAAATGCACAGTCACTGCACTTCACAGTATATTCTGTGAAGAGCCTTGAGATGTCTCGAAGACATGATAAGGCGCTGTATCAAATGCAAAGATTATTATTATTTATTATAAGTATCGGTCTTGTTACTGAAAGAGGCAAATCTCACATTTCTTCCTATTCCTCGTGTGTATTTTTTTAAATAAGACCCTTCATGGCTCATTATTAAATCACGGCTGATATTCTGGGTTAGATTAGGTTTTTAGTTGTGTCAGATCATTTGCATCTGGTTAATGTTATTGCAGTGAACGCTAGAACTGTGGAATTCTTTTTACTTTTATAAGATCAATAAAGGCAGCAAAATTCAATTAACTGCAGGCGGAGGAAAGCATTTTGGGGATCTTTGGTGTGTGTGTGTGTCAGAGGGTCTTATTTTCTTTATTCAGCCACAAAATATCTGGTCCATTCAATTTACAGTGTATCCTGTGAAGCGCTTTGAGACGTCTCAAAGACGTGATAAGATGCTATATCAAACGCAAGGATTATTATTACTAATAATATTATTATCATTAATAAGGAAGGCTTCTAACACAACACCTCTCCTAGTGAATCTGTGCGTGTTTTCTGTTCTACGACGCTACGCGTTTTTTTGTTTGTCTCGGCAGAATTACAATAATCCAACTGTAATGGCTCTTGGCGTTCCAGTAGCGGTGAAGTTCTTGCAGATGGGGAACAAGGAGCTGTGTCACAACATGTCGAGCTACCTGTCGCTGGCTGCCATTGGCAAACCAGACCTCTTGGCAAGACACACGCAGACCATTGTAAACAGCGTGCTTCAGGGTAAGGACAGACAATTTACATTCATTTACATTAATCTCAGCTAAAGAACTTTCTTTTCGACTGCGCCTTTGGTCACCTCCTTCCCCCTCTCCCCGGTTCAGCCCCGGGATCCGTTACTGTAAAGAGCTCTGACACACCATCCGGCGTGGAGGGCGCTATATAAATCCAAGTTGTTGTCGTTGTTGTCGTAATAATAATCCTTGCATTTGATGCAGTGCCTTATCACGTCTTCGAGACGCTTCAAAGCGCTTCACGGGATACAGTGTAACGTGATTCTGACTGTATGAATTGTGGGAAAACTGTAATTGTAAAATTGTTCTGTTCTGGCGATCGTTGGATTAGGAGGAAGGTGTAGGTAGTTGACTCGTGTCTGGGCCATACACACTCTACCCCAGGCCACACACACATGCACACACAAGTGCGCACGCACGCACACGCACACACATCCACATCCACACACATGTGCGTACACAGACGTAGAGTGGGATGTTCCAGGGCTCTGACACACACCCACACACACACCCACACACCCACACCCACACACCCACACACCCACACAACCACACACCCACACACCCACACACCCACACACGCACACACACACACACAAAGAAAAAAAATGAAGTGAAAGGAGAAAACGCTGGTGATGTATCGGTTCAGTCGTCCCCCGAAAGAGTGAGATGTGCGTTCAGGTTCTGACAAAAGAATCGGTCTTGAAATATTAAACTGTGGTCTCTTTTGATTGTGGACGGTTTCGCTGTTCTCTGCTGCCATTTTCTAGGGCTTTTTTGTGGTTGTGGTGTTCCAGCATTCCCGAGTGTGCGTTGGGGTATGACTGGAATGTAACCACTCCTGTGTGTTGTACTGTAATCAATCCCATATCTTAGTTTCTATGTAATCTACACTCTGCTCTTAATTCAACTGTAAAATTCCTCTCATGCGGATCACGTGTCTAGTATTTTACAGCGATAATATTATAACAGCCTCTCGCAGTGTTTAATCAATGTAATTCGAGCTTTACCTTTACTTGTCAGTATTAATTTTACGGAGGCCACAGCAAAAATTCCGGGATAGGAATTAAAGTGGGGCTTAGAGAGCAGAAAGGTCGTCATTTAATCTGTGAGTTTGGACGGTTTCTATAAATCACTCCAGCCTCTCTCCTGCAGTTTCTGACGTCATTTTGAACCTACAGATTAAATTTGAGCCCTGCTTCTCAAAACACCGTCTAAGTTTCCTTCCATCCATTCAGCATTCAAACCATTATGGCATTGTTAGCCTAGTAAAACAACAACAACAACTTGCATTCATGTAGCCCCCTTCATGCCGGGCAGCTTCTCAGAGCTCTGTATCACATACTCTGCATGTTGCAATAGGAAATGCTTTATGGAAACTGCACTGATGAGCATTATTGAATCAGATCTTAATATAAATGGCTATGAGATCTGTCCGCTGCTTATCCACTGTGTCTTCTGTTCTGTAAGGAAACCCAGGCTCTGTATTTAGGAATGATTTAACTTGGATGTGTGTTTGCATCCCATTCATGTTTGGCAGCTGCTTTATGTGAAATAATTTCAAGATCAAATCTTGTACCAAACATGGCCAGCGTTACGGACGTCTTAGTTGAGGATCAGGATATGTTAAAGGAAAGGAAAGTCTCGGGGGAACGTACTTTCTGTTCACATTGCCTTCCCCAAATATACGGAGATCTCTAAAATTCTTACCTGCCAAAGACAATCAAGTCACTTAAAGTTAACTGAAAGGGTCATTGTTCTAATTCTTTCCTTGTGTTTTTTTTACACACGAGTTATTCACATTGTGGGTGAATTGAATTGAGTTCAGCCACAGTTCTGTTGAGTTGGACTTGAGAACTCTTTGCATTTGAGCAAGAGAGCTAACATTAAAAACAAAAGTTGTGTTCAGTTCGAGAAGTTGACGCCGTTGACCATTGCTAACCCTCTATTGAGTGTTCCTGGGCTATATGGCATGGCTAAGACAAGTTGCTCTCCAAGTCTCTCCTGTTCAAAAGCAGAGACCGGCAGATGAATCTGCCTTCTGCTCATGCTGGAGAGCATTGGTTGTCTATGTGTCCTGTTTCTCCCCTGCGTGAGGGACGCTATATAAATGCATGTTGTTGTTGTTGTTGTTTACGTCACCGCACACCTGGTTACAGTTCCTATTCCGGTCACCACATGATGAGTTCAGGAAGCAGCTGATTCTGTTCGAAACCTTTGTGTATCATTGAAACATTTTCAGGTTTATTGATCTGTACCAAAAACACAGGCGTGATGACAATTTTCTTCGTTTTTTTTAATTACAAAATTCAAGAGATTTGCATGATATGGTTGACAATATATTGTTCATAACAGCACTATAATATAAAATTAGACTCTTTAAGATATAAAAATTTAAGGGCGTTTGCAAAGGAACTGAACCGTATAATACAGACACAATGCACAGAGTAAAGAATGTGTTTTACTTGCATCTTAAATGTCTCTATCAACATGATCTTTAGTTTTAGAATGGAGAAGCTAAACCTTCAATTATTTTTGCTAGTTTACCTATTAAATAATCATAATAGTGTTTTATTCTCATTGTACTAAAAAAAAACGCAGAAATTCCGAAGTCAAACTGTAATAGTATTTGGGAATATAAATTGTTTTCAAATATAGATTTCCATTTACAATTTTGTAACTAAAGCCGCATTTGTCTTCGATCCTGAAGAACTGGACGTTAGTACAGATGCTCCAGCAACAAAAGATACGAAGTCCAAAAAGCTTACAGCATTTAATGTATTGCAGATATTGGGGTCATGAAATCCAAGCACAAAATGGACCATCAAAGATGGGTGGTAGTGGGTTTTTACTTTCTCTATTGTTTCTCATCAACATGGATCAACTGAAAGAGTTCAGACACCATTTTGGGCACACTGACCCCAGTATAAAAGTTGTTACCAAGTTTGGTGAAGTTCGATACCGCTACAAATTTGCATCATGACTTTCCCTCCGTGGTTGAATCCGAGTGATTCATCCGCGGAAAGAAAAGTCTTTTTATTAAAAAAAAGTGTAAATAGTAATTTCTCATTGAATAGAATTGGATGTCATGTTACGACTGGATTGTTATGTTACCATGCTGAGACCCATGTTTATTCAGCAATCAGTTAGTAATAACTAAACGCAGCTCCTCCATGTGGCAGGATCTCTGTGACACCCCAACCCACTACATTCCCTCTGGCTTTGCAGAAATCGTAAGTAGCCAGACTCAGTATTGCTTCTTCCTCGAGGACTGTGTCCCATATATTGAAGTCAGTCAACTTCCCTGAAAAGGCTAAGCTCTCGTCGAAGCCACCTCCAACACAACAGCCGTTCTTTTCTTGACCCAGTTGCAAAATCCCTCCGTCTGGGATATTGTAATTTTCGGCCACCCCCAGAGCGAAGCCTGCAAGTTTTCCGTCCACCCAGAGAGTGGCATTTCCATTCTCCGCACTCCATATCCCGCAGATGTGTTTCCATTGACCGGGGAAGACCACATTCTTGGCCACTACCTGGCTCGTCTCATTGCCAACAGACAACACCACTGCGAAGTGATCGAAGAAGAGCTGGATTTGGTATGGGTTTCTCTTCGTTCCGTAGGAGAACACAATGGTCTTTTCCAGCACCTCAGTGACTTTCACCCACACGCAAGCCGTAAATGAGCTCAGGGTCATATCGCTGGGATGAACGCTTGCATATATCTTCTTCGACCGCATGGGAAACACCATGGCCATTTCGCAACCTGAGAAGCAGTAGGAAAGAAATATTGCACGTGTCCAAGTTAGTTTTTATCCACAATTATACGATACCAGTTTTCTTTTGCACACATTTTGCCCGAGGAAGAGATCACGCGATTAAGCTGCAATTCGGACTCGGTGTGCTCTGAAACAATGTACAGTGGGGAGAAAAAAATGTGAGTTAGTGAGTTTTACAGTTTTGTTCAATAACACAGCATTTCGACTACTTTTTCTCCTCGGATGCTGAAGCAAAGTAGAGCATCACTGACTATGACTCTTCATCATAGATGTGCAATGATACCCACAGCTCATATTCCTGGCTCTGAGAGCAGAAGGAAGGAAGAATTCTGAGAGTCAGTCTAAGAACAGCAGAAGGTTAGACCTTGCAGTTTATCAGTACCATAAGAACATAAGAATTTGGCGGGCGAAAGAAGACCAAGGTCCATCTAGTTCGCCTTCCACCATCCTGGCAGTCGCTTGATATTTCAGGCACAGACAAATGTCATGGAACTTGCCCATCCAAGGCCAGCCATGGTTTGTGAGGGCTTTGTCTTTACCTGTCAGTCTCGGTGAATGAATCAGATAGGCAGGTCCACTTTGGGTTTCATTGCATCTTGGCAACCAGCCTCAGTTTAAAAATTCAGCTGATTGAAGCAAACTTTTTCTGCTTTATTTCCAAACTTTAAAAAGTAGTTGTGTGTCGTGCTACACCTTTGTGGACCAAGTTGCATCCTACTTTTGGAAGTGTTGTGATTTTTATTTTGTCAAGCCTGTAGATGCCACAATACTAGCCAGAGTTAATAGATTTTTACGACGGATGTTCTCCCAAAGAACCAGAGCCTTCATACAAGTGGCTTCCCTCCTGCCAACGCAGGTCCCTCCTGACATCAGGAATACTGTAGAAAGTTTTATCTTCTCATTGGTATTCCAGGGCAAATATCACACTTGCCTCTCAATATTCCCAGTTCTGAGTCCTAATTGTAACCCATCAAGCTTAACTTTCTCTCTCTCTCAGCCACCTTCCCCCATTGGATTTCTGCAGTTCGAATTTAATTGTGAATGCGTTTAAAAATTGAAGAGAAGCCACTCCCCAGCTTTTATGTGCAATATGAAGCCCGTCAATCAAAGGATTTAACATCATTCCAACTTTCAGAAATATGAGCATGGTCTTTGGATTTTTGGTGTATTTGAGATGGTTTAATACCTTTGAAGTATTTGCTATTTTTCACCTTGTTCGCCCACAAAATAAACAGTCACTGCACTTGACAGGATATTCTATGAAGTGCTTTGAGACGTCGCGAATGAGGCGTGAGACCAAATGCGAGGATTATTATCATTATTATTATTGTACAATTTGAGCAACTCTGCAGTGAGCACAGTCACCTGTGTTGCCATGCAAACAGAAATGACGTGGTAATTATGGGTATCAGTCGGTAGTAACACTGCAGAGTTAGTAACTTTTCACTATGTTTTTAGTATCTTCGTTTCAGGCAATATATTGAAGCTCTTTTTTGTCATGACACGAGCAAGACACTAGATGGTGTTTTGTACCTTTGAGAAAAAACACTGTTATTTCTTACTAAACAGTTCGAACACCTTCTTTTGTCTACCGCACATAATAGTGGCACATGCGAAGCACATCTGGCTCCGAAAACCTGTCTGCTTAGACATGTTTGTGGAAAGAGAATGTACCTTAGCGAGCGGATTTTGGATAGGCTAAAAAAGAGGAGAATAAATTTTAAATTTTTTTAAAAAATCCTCTTACGCGAAGGCCAAGTGAGTTTACCTGTCGGCAAAGTGTGTCTTTCCACCCGCGCCCGAGAAGCTCTCAGTTCAGCCTTGATTTGCTGCAACTCGAAGGTCAAGGAATTCAGGGTGGTTTCCAAGTAGTGAGAAGATGTCTTTCCTACTTCGATGGGTGGCTGGTGATCCTTTGCGTCCGCCGAAGTCTGCCAAGCCGTCTCGAGTGTGCCGAGTCTGCTCGACACGTCGCGGCTGGCCAAAAGGAGCTGCTGACAGACGCTCTTCACTTCCGATTCATTCTGCACTCTGACCCTGCGCACCTCCTCCAGTTTGTGTGTCAGTTTCTTGTCTAATTGCGACGTGATTCGTATCGTGGCGGAGTCCATGGCGTTGGTGCAAGTGCCTGCAAAGTTAGCTACAAAGTGAAGCATTTCGGAGCGCATGCTTTGTAGTTCTACCTTAAGGACTTCGTCCACCGACTGCATTACCATATTCTCTCGCATCTGGGAATCTTCCAGCATCACAAATAGCTTGTCCCATTTACTCAGCTCTTTCTGGCATCTGCAGGAACCATCTGAAGTGGAGGATTGTGGATTGAAAAGAGCATTCGGTAGATAAGTACAGATGGTTATAGACGTGGCTTATACGATTACAACAGAGCCGGGGGGGGGGGGGGGGTTTCCCCACACAAATGCACTTTTTCCTTTCGAAACGTTAAGCACTTTGAGACATCTCAATGACGTGATAAAGCACTATATCAAATGCAAGGTTTATTATTGTTATTATTATTATAACATGTTTTGATGTGTGCTTCAGCATCAAATAACCCAAATCATACTCATCTACAATAAAAATAAAGTTTTTTTTAAAAGCAAAACACTTTCATGTTGAGTATTCTGAATTACATTTTTCACGTGATGGATCATTTGCTGATTGGTTGCAGAATTAGTTTTAAAATCTCCCACCTAAATGTTACTGCACTGTGCATTTGAAATGAATCCCTTTATAAGTTTAACTTATGTTGTTATCAGTGAACTGATTTTTTTCTTTTTCAAAAGTATTATCTCGGTAAAATTTCACATGACTAGTTATCACATTACTGAGAATTATTTGAGTTTTTTCATAGTCTATATATATGGTAAACATAATAATAATCCTTGCACTTGATAAAGCGCCTTATCACATCCTCAAAACATAATGTTTCAAAGCGATTCACAGGATTTTCCTGTAAAATGTAATGACTGTGTATTTTTGTAGGCAGATGTTACAACAATAATAATAATAATCCTTGTATTTGATAGAGTTCCTTATCAAGTCATCTCAAAGCGCTTCACAGTATATACAATACAAAATTACATTTGTATAGTGCCTTTCACGTCGGGAGAACGTCCCAAGGCTCTGTAAAGTAATATACTGTAAAGTGAATTGACTGTATATTTTGTGGGAGAAACGCGGCAGCCAATTGCGCACAGCAGTGTCCCACAGACAGTCGTGGATTGAATGACCAATTTTTTTTATTATTATTATAAATTAATACATTAACATTTTCTAGAAGTTGGGAGGGAACTTATTAATGTTCTGGTCTTAACCATGTAAGAATTAATACAAATAATAATGGTGACTTGTATTTTAAATGTTATTTACTAATATTTCAGCATTGTTCCTTTCATTCTGTTAAATTGTATTTATTTGTGAATGCCCAGTGCCATTAAATACAATGGGCAGAACTAACTTTTAATGTCTCGGTTAGTCTGAAGAGATCATGCTGAAGAATTTTGCAGAGAAGTTTCCAAAATTGAAACTATGACATTCAGGGCACAAACTTACATACAAGTACTGTGTTTGTCTGATATGCAAACTAGTTTATGTCATCCATCGGATTTTATAATGAGAAAATAAACACACTTATTCTATTGAAATTAATCCATATTCAGTTAACTAACCCCAAAACACACCCAAAATCAACAACTTGAAATCTTACCTGGTAAAACTGAGATTTGGTTTTCTACACCATTTACATACTGGATCTCTCCATAATCTTGTGTCAAAATATACGACAGATTGAGCAGAATCCACAATACTATTGCAAACGCAGCCATTTCTCTGGATCCCTGATGCTTTCAATGCCTTGAGTAGTGCAGCCTTGTGTTAGGTAAGATTTAGCTCCTAGACATAGGTTCAGTGTGAGCTCCAGAGAGGTCTGAACACACAAGCTCTCCAAATCCCTTAATAAACCGAGTGAGCAATGATCCAAGTACTTTGTTGGTGGTAGAACGTACGTGCAGGAGTGAGCTAAAGATCTGCTTTCGTAACAAAGAGGTTGAGTTACACAATCTCTAAATTTAACAGATTCCAGGGCACATGTGGGGTAGGTATTATGAGGAGAGAGTCTAGGATTGGGGTAAGATTTTCGACTGAAAGCCAGATGTAATGATCTCTCTCTGGGGAATTGCATTGGTAGCAATAAGCGATGAGTGTGTAGAAAGCCAAACTGGGGCAGCTCCCACAGGATTATAAAATATGCAAGAGTATTTATCCTTGTATTTCAAGTCTTTTTTTTTCGCAGTTTTCATCTGAAAGTAGTTAGCTGTGTCTAAATGTAATGGTAGCTTTGAAAGGTTTAATGAGGTTTAAACTTGAGCACGTTTCAGATTTATCTCATCTTTTTTGTTTTAACACTTTGTTCTAAATTTGTGAGCCGGTGAAAATAATGAATAATAACAACAATAAATGATAATAATAATCCTTGCATTTGATATAGCCCCGCGGCACATCTTCGAGAGGTCTCAACAGATTATTTGTTCATGTGTTGTGGGTTTCGCCTTAGATTCACCACAAAGCATAGCCCTGGCTATGCATTATCCGTCATGACATTGGAAAATCAGTGTGTTTATCCCTTTGCTGTGAGAGAGAGAGTACTTACTATACCTGGGCGGGATGTGGGGTGGTGGTGTGGGGGGGAGAATATAAGAGAATATAACATTTTGGTGGAGCCAAAATTTTTTGTCAGCTGAAATAAAACACATATTGGATCGGAGAAAGCTGCTCCTGATTTACACCCCTACTTTTTTTTAAAAAAAGTAACATTAAATCGGCTCTCCTGGATCTCGCTGTGATGATAACTCTTTTACAGGATGGACCACTTTCAGCGCGATTGTTTCAACGGTTTTTGCTTATTTAAAATGACTAAATAATACACTTTTTCACCTCTTTGAAACCATGTGAGTTACCTGCACTGCATCCATCAGTGAAGGGGTTAAATAGTGCTGTAACAAGCCTCGCTGTTCAGCTCACTAATAGCTTCCTTATGTTGCGGTTTTCATCCGCGGCGATTTTTTTTTTGAATGGCATTTTGCGATATTTCTATTGCTTTCTGCCCTGCACCATTCAAGCCACTTCTTTACACTAAATGAAGTGCCGCTCACACCAAGGACCACTCACCTAAAGACCTGGATGTGAGCAACTAATGCTCAGTTCGCCCAATACGTGACGTTGAGCTTGGACCTCGAGAACATTAGGGTGGCTGGCACCTCACAGGCTGTCCTGCTGGAGGCAGATGCCTGCCAGATAGCTGATGGGGAAACTCTGAGGCTTGGGGTGACAGCTATTGGCAGGTGCTATCTGGAGTCCGAGTTTGTGAACACGTGTTCGTACATCCAGCACCTGGAATCCACCTTGATTGGCCTGCGGAGAGGTCAGCATCTGCTGCTTAAACTCCGCACCTCCAACTGGTGGAACCATCGCTCAATGGGAAGGGACGTGTGCCTGAGCTGCGGACAGGAAGACGGTGGCAAAGCTCTCACGTATTTTCACACTCTGGGATCCTCCCAAGCCTTGGCTCTCGCCAACCTGCACCTCATACTTTCCGGAATCAGGTAAGCAGGGAGAGAGAACGCATTCCATTCCAGCAGTCTATCTCTGGCATTCCCACATGGAGGTGGGATGCATGGAAATCTCAGCATGGTTTGGAGACTCTTAAGGGTTTCCTCATGTGTCAGACATATTCTGACCCCCAAAAAATGAAATGCTGCTAATTGTCTTGGTTATGATTGCAACAGCCTTCACCTGTGTGTGCGTGTGGGTGTGGGTGTGTGTGTTTGTTTGTTTGTTTTGGTTGTTCGCTCTGGATTCCTTTCAAGCCCAATAAGAAGTGGTTTCCAGTTGGCTATCAAGTCCACGTCCTTTACCTTTGCATCTGTTTTCTTGCTGTGCTCACAGGCAATTCCATGTTGCTACGTGTTCTGCCTTCTGTGTACGAGACGCAGCCTGAACCCATTAACCGCTACATGACGGAACTGGTCAGCCTGATGTCCCAACTGGAAGCGCCTGGGAGGCAACATCTTCTCCGTCTTCTTCAACTGGTCACTAAGCACCACCCTGGGGTAATCTGCAAGTTAAACATTCGTTGATATTTTTGACGGGTTTGCAAGCTTGCCTGAAATAAGCCAGAGATAGCTGAACTGTTGCGGTTGTTTACTACATTGCTGAGCAAATCCAGACTTACTCTCCCCCCAGCCCCAATCCCCACCCCCACCCACCTCCTTGTTTCTTTTGTTGCCTTTTGTGTGTTCAAATCTCAGCAAGAAATGAAAAGTTTCTTTGTCTGCCCGACTCGCTGGTTTGAGGATCTCAAACACTGAGCGTAATCTCTCCGGCACATGGTCAGGTCTCCTCACCACGTCCTTTTGAGTCACTTTTTGTATGAATAAATACACAGTTGAAATGTAAACAATCCGAGTCACGAAAGCGAGGCCAAAAATTGCTCTGCTGTCCAACGAGCATCCGTGCATTACACACTGAGAGATTGCAATTTCCTGGTTGGCTGATGGGTGTAAATTATAATTGTGCCGCGCTGAATTTTCTACTTTCAGGCTTGTCTGCATAACCGTGGCTTTGCTCAGGCTTCGATAATCTCGATGAAATAATGATCCTTGCAACTGATTTAGCGCTTTTCTTGTCGGGAGGATGTCTCAGAGGATTTACACCAACAACAACTTGCATTTATATAGTGACCCTCGCGCAGGGTAGAGTCCCGGAGCGCTGTCTGCAAAAGTGTAGAAACTCACTGTGTGTAAGTGAACATGTTTTCCCTGCTTTTCTGCCCCAGGTTGTAAACATGGTCATTCTGTTCTGTCTGTTCACTCAGAGTTGGAAAGAAAGTCCTGTCTTATGATTTATGATAAGATCGAGCTACTAAGTTGTGTAAATCCAGATGAGATTTCCAATTATGTGGAATGCTGCTTTAATTCACGTGTGACTTATCCACAATTTGCCTGTGTGAATTTTATTCACGTGAAACAATGTGAGTTTTAGCTATAAGCTTTTCTAAGAACGGGTTCCAACGAGATAATATTTTTCCATCCATACTGTACCTTGCCTCGCTACATTTAACCCTAAATATTTGAAGGATTGATTGACGGAACATGTAATCTATCTGTAGGTATTGAAATATAATGTGTTTTCTCATTATAAAATATAATGAATGCCATAAACTAGTTTGCATATCAGACAAGTCCTTGTTCGTTTGTCTGTGGTCCCCAATGATGCAGTTTATATTTTGGCCAGGTTAGTTATTCAGCGAGCTTGCTTTTGCCCATATTCCATCATATGTGTGATTTTAATAACCAAGAAAACTCCTAAATGATATTTAATTCTTTAACGGCACAGATTCATCATTTCACCCGCACTTGGCAAATAAGTGTGAAAGCGAGCATTTTCTACGCACCCAGAGCATACATTTGTCACCACTTACTTATCTCGCTTCCTGCTACTGTTGGCTAAATAGCGTACTTCTGTATAACATCTGCTGTTTAAGTCACACTTCTGGACATTTTTATGCCGCCTGAAACACAAGGAAATATCAATGAACTTTCTGGAAATTTTAATAAAATGCAGGAGCTACGTATAAATTAGAGTTTGTCGCGTGTTCATATTTATAGTTTCTCAGACAGGACCCCACCCCCCTCTTCTTCGCACATATATTAATCCCAACCCCACCCCCCCTCCACCCATAAAGAAAGGCTCGGATGCTTAGACAAGTTGCAGTGCCCCCAATGCGACATTAGTTAACATTGAGGTACAGAACCAAAGCTGTATTTTTTGTTGGGAGATTTATGAATGAATACTGTTGCTGAGATTAAACAGAAGGCTGTGTGTTTGTGGTAATTTGCGCTCTGGTGAAAAAGAAACCCTGAAGGTTCAAGTTCAAGTTTAATCAACTGCAAGGACTGATCGTGCTGTTATCACTTGGTAACAAAAGTAGGTTCAGTCATATATCTATCTCGAGGAATCTGGTGTAAGTGAAAAAATGTGTTTTTGATTAATTCTAATGAATGATTTAATTTGAAAAAGAGTCGTGCTAGAGAACTGGAGTGTTGAATGCAGTAAATAAATATTTGGAGCCTGTATTGTGGTTTTAAACTAGACCTACATAATTTGGTCACTCAATCTACGACTGTTTGTGGGACACTGCTGTGCGCAATTGGCTGCCACCTTTCGCCCACAGAATATACAATCAATTCACTTGACAGTATATTCTGTGAAGCGCTTTGAGACATCTCGAAGACGTGATAAGGCGCTATATCAAACTGCGAGGATTATAAGTAGCATCTAAGAGAAGCACGGATTAAGAAGGCTGGGAGTGATCTCTGAGGAGGATTTGCATTAGTAGCTATGCAAGATGTTCTCTTTAAAAAGTCGTGACCCTTAAAGAGCAGCTCATTTCTCAAATGGCTGGGTAACAGAGGATGCAAAGGGCTCTAAGAAGCCATTTCATCAGCTGGTGTGTTTGGTTGAGCTTCAGCCCCTGGCACCTACAAACACAATCGCTTGTGGATATTCTCAAATCAACAGTTGCTGAGGTTACTCTAACTGAGACTCCAGATGTCCATTCCAATAAAGAGACTATTGTGCAGAGGAGAAAAGTTGAACAAAATGATGATTGAACCAAATGACCTGCTGTTTCTTGGGTCTATGGCAGAAATAACTCTTGCTTGTTTAATCTGGAGGGCGAAAAAAAATGCGGGTCGTGTCAAAAAAAAAGCCTCACTTGGCTTGACAAGTTTAATTTATTTTATCAAGACACAAACCATTTTCAAACTAGCCATGTGCAAGCTATTGGTCAGAGTTTGAAGCAACATAGCTGTTGTTCCATAGGAAAACAGGCCGCACCACATGACGTTAGTCCTTGCAGCACTTTGCACAATGGACATGATGGACAACATAGAGAATTTAAAGGGGCAAATGGTTGTCATATATTTTACTCTCTGTAGCGAGATCTTAACAATTCTGTCCCAGGATTGAACCTAGGAGCCTCTGACTCACTCAAAGACGAGAGTGCTACCAACTGAACAGAGGTGGCACCTGGATTTGTGATCCAGTGAAGTATTAAACACAATAAAAATGGAAAATAAATCGGTTTGGTCGCTAACCTGTAATCTCATTGTAAATGGACAATTGAGGGGAATGGCAAGTGAATGTGGAATATAGGAATAGTGATCCAACTCTTTGCTGGGAGTGAATTCAGTTCCATTTGATTGTCATGAAACCAACCCTAGACTGGACCTTGCAGATGTAATCTTGTTGTTGTTGTTGAAGAGAGTGGTATATAATCGCTGCTTCCTAGTTGTTCCTCTCTGAAATGAACCGGGTAATCAGGAATTACCATATCTGTAAAATGTTGAAATACACCAACAAAGTCGATTCCCCTTTTAGAGGAGCTGATGCCTTTGATGGTTCAAAAATCTATTACGTTTGGCACCACTCAACATCTATTTGACTAGTTAATGCTCGCATTCGCATTTCACTGTCCCTACAAGACATGAGTTGCACCGGGGGATAATGAAAGAAAAAATGTTGATGACGTGTACTTGAAGGTTGCCCGAAGGTCACAAAGTTTGCCTAAAATTGCAGCCTATTTGTGCAATCTTGTTCGGCCAGTTTGAAAACGGTATTGGACACGGACACAATAGTGATCGAGAGCAGTGTTTCGCAAGCTCTGTCTGTTTCAAATGTAAAACCATTTGCCATTTTATTTCACAAAAATTCTTTCATTTCAACGGGACAAGAGCCCAGGTCCATTTTCAAGAAAAAAAACACACACACATCATTTGGATCAGCAGTGTGTTTGATGCCTGTGGAAACCCATCCCTGTGTTCAATAAGAATCTCCAAACCAGACTGAGAGTGCTGCACGTGTCTGCTGACTACACACAGACATGTCCGTGATTGGAATGGAATGCGCACTCTCTCTCTCTCTCTCTCTCTCCCTAGAGGAACACACCCCGGCTTATATAATCCTTTTTTGGGGCTTGCTCACCCCAGAGTGTGCATTGGGGGTAGTGCTGGAATGTAACCGGCTTACGCCGTGTAGCTTGCCATTGAGAGCACCATCTGGCAAGCTTCCTGTCACTTGTCCAGCCAGGACCACCCTTTATGGCTCACAGGGTTGAAAAAAATGACTGCTGAGCTTTTTTTTATGCATATATTTAGTATTCATATACTTGTTACGTAATATATTACGTAATATATATTCATAATATATTTATTACATTTATTCATATATTATATACAGCCAATTTACTTTACAGTGTGTTCTGTGAAGTGCTTTGGGACGTCCTCCAGACGTGAAAAGCGCTATATCAAATGCAAGGATTATTATTTTTATTATTATTATTCTCAGCGGAACAATTTCATACCAAGGGGAAATTTGTTTCTTATTGAGCACGTTGCCGTTGAAACAGAATTCCTTCTGCCCAGTTTGATGGCAACGGCCTAGCATTTGAACTCCAAGGTTAAAAAGGGCCCAATTTGCTTTCTGCTTGCAGACCAGGAAAATAAATGTAGCACTTAAACTACAAGAAGCCATCTCAGTAATCAGTCTTTCAGTCCACATCCAGGGGAGGAATGTGCATTCCTCTAATTATAGAATTATTGTTGCCAGTGCTTGAGAAGCCCCAATAATGCTTTCTGTCTCAGCTGTATTGATAGCTTAGAGCACGATGCTGGCAATTGTTCTCTTGGATTGTGTTCAGCGTAACTCTGGTTACGTTGTGGTCTGACACTAGCCGCTTCTCAGTAGCACCAGGGCAATACAGTGTGGCACCTGTAGCAGATGATAAATGAGACACTATTTGTCTGTTGAGTTTTAATGGACAATGCAATCTCTGTGTGTTATATCGGCTGGTAATTTGTTGCGTCTGTCCAGATGCATCTTGAAAACTCCAATTACTAGGGATAAGAATTCACTCCATAAAGTCCTATTGTCTCGCAGGATGCCAACATCACCAGCAAACTCTAAAATCAATAGGAGTTGCAGCAGATTGCGATTTTTCTTACCTCAATATTTAAAATACCTGGCATGTTCACGTCTTGCTCAGGTCATTTGGTCTTTTGGTTATATTCAAATTAAATTCCTTTATTGTAGAAACANTTTTTTAATGTAATCACCTTAATGTAGTCTTAAATATTACTTGAATAGCTGTTTCCCACTTAACTATTATTATACGTGCAGGCATCTACATATTGTACTGTACTGCCGATGCTGTGCTTACCCTGAATCGTATAAACACAAAAAGTTGACCCCTTGGGTAATCTGATTGGTGGTCTGTGTTCTAAATGTTGATCATGCTAAATGGTATTTACTGAATTTGTTGAAAGATTTTATTGAACTCCTGTCCACAGGATTAATTCTAGCATTTAATAATCCTTGCATTTGAAACAGTGCTTTATCACGTCTTCGAGATGTCTCAAAGCGCTTCACAGGATATACTGTAAAGTGAATTGACTGTATTTGATGGGCGAAGCGCGGCAGCCAATTACACACAGCAGCGTCCCACAAACAGTTTGCTGATTGAATGACCAAATTATTATTTATTATTTTCCCCCTTCAGGCACTAGACAAATCCATCCTGTCTTTGATTAGCCAACTGAGAGAGCCCAGCCAAACTGACTTCATCCGAAATGTATTGGTGGATCTGGTGACCTCCAATCCATGCATTCTGGACAATTCCTTTGAAAACCTGAAGGAAATCGCTCAAGGCTGCCCCACTCTCCTGGGACAAATTGCAAAGATTTTTGGAGCTGTAGGATGTATTAATGAGGTGAGTCATGAGCAGTGCAACAAAATTACACACACGTTATTTTACTCTTGTGGCGTGCACTTCGAATCAGGAGATGTCGTAACTGAAGGTTTGTATACTTTTTTGTTATCGTGCCATGCTTGTGTTGGGAAGGGAAGAATAGAGGTAAGGAGGGGAAATATGTCCACGTTTCATGACCCACAAATGTGAAGGGCCTTGCATGTTGCGGGATGTTAAGACATTTATTGCTGTGAAAGATTGAACTGTCTGGAAAAATAAAGCAAACAAAAACGGTCACCGCTCAAGCTCTAGGCAACAGTTTCCATCTTGGTTTCATCAAGGCTGCCAGACTTTGTTATTGGTGCACTTCCAGCCGGGGTCAGTGACTGTGGTAGGGCAGTGCGCTACATCACTTTCATTCTTCAGCAGGAAAAAGCATCGAGGCGGACTTCTGTCCCTCAGGACACACAACCCAACGTAAATAGGTTTGACGTCTTACTGTGCTCAGTAGGGGCTGCTTCAGGAGGCTACATTGGCCCCTTGGCTCCCCAGGGTGAGGGAGGGTAAAATCAATCAGGGTTCCTGCTTCTTACCCTTCACTATCGCCATCTATTGGTAGTGCAAGGGTACTGCACCTGGTGAGGTGAGATCAGGCTGGGCTGAAGAGTAACATCCATTACATTTGAGTGCCTCACTGTCAAGGCTCACACATGAACAATAGTCACTTGAGTAAGGTATCAGAGCAATGTCCCACCAACAGCCAAGAAGTGAATGACCGACAAAATCTTTAATAGTAATAATAATAATCCTTTCATTTGATATAGCGGTTTATATATAGCGCCTTGAGACATCGCAAAGCTCTTCACAGAATAAGTATATTATAAAGTGAATTGACTGTATATTTTGTGGGCAAAACAGTTTCTGGGGGATTGTTGGCGAGATAACAACACTAGCAGATAACATTTACACAGCGCTTTTCACGTCGGGGACCGTCAGGGATTTGGTGCAGATTTTACATTTTTCAAAAATAACAAATTTTCATCTTTCATGTCAATGTCGCTGAGAAAAACTCCCTTCTCTTTCATGCTAGTGCCCTGGGATATTTCACCCACAAAAATATACAGTCAATTCACTTTACAGTACATTCTGTGAACCTCTTTGAGACGTCCCAAAGACATGATTAGGCGCTATATCAAATGTAAGGTTTTTTTTGCATTTTTTGCATTATTATAACATCCACATCAACAGGTAGACAGACACCTCTAATATTTTTGGGAAAGATACTGAAAGAAAGACCATTGTGTAGAAGATCGGTCCTTGAGGGTGAATGTTTTGATCAAACAGAATCTGAGAAAATATCAATTATCAAGTTAGTTATTGGTTGGGTTTTAAAATGTCACAAAAATTCAGTGCTTTTATTCTAAGTCTTTGTTGTTGATCATTTAAAAAAAAACTAAATCCTGTATCTGTTCAAGATACATGTGTGGAGTTTGAATGCTTTCCACGTTAACATAATGCTAATGGAACTTTTGGCAGTAATTTAGAATAAAGGATTTTTTATATGGTACCAAAGGTTAAAATCATTGGCAGTAGTTTATTTCACATTTCCTGGGAAATTCCCTCAATAAATACACCAACGTTTGCACAAGAAGTATACAACAAGCAAAGTACTTCTTGGAATTTTGTCGATGAAATTACATTGTTGTCAAATGAAACACAACCTCGTGGTTTAGGGTTGTTGGCCTCTCTCCACTGTGTAGTTCTCTACAGTTTGCCTCTGTTCTAAACAAACAAACAGAATTGCACATGTATAGCACCTTTCATGTTGGGAGAACGTCCCAAGACGCTGGAAGATCAGTGTTTTGGACCTGAGCTGAGGGTTGGGATCGGGGAGGGTGGAGGGCAGAGCGGGAAGGAGAGTGGCCGAAGGCACGGTCGCAGAGGATGGTCTTGAGACGGGTCTTGAAGGAGGCGAGGGAGAGGGCGAGGGCGAGGTGGAGGGACTGCGGGTGGGAGAGGTCAGATTTGAACTAGGCAAGGGCAGGTCCGCGAAGATTGAGCTGAGAGGAGAGGTGGTGACGGTTTTGAAGGCAGCAGAGAGGGCGAGGACGACAAGGAGGCAGAGAGAGCCCGGGTTGCAGCTGTTCAGAATGTCATTAGTGACTGACCGGGACTGGTTGTGTGTTGTGGGCAGCGCGGAAACCTGACTGGAGGAGTTCAGAGAGGGAATGGCAGGAGAGGAAAGAGCAAAATTGGAATGCAACAACTTATCTCAGGGCCTTGGAGAGTAAATGGGAGGTTGGAGATGGGGCAATAGCTGGAGAGTAGGGATGGGTCCATGGAAGGTTTTTTTGAGTATGGGGTTGATAACAGCTGCTTTTAGGGGTTGGGAACAGTGCCAGTGGATAAATAGAGGTTGATAATGTCGGTTAAAAGAGGGGCCAGGAGGTGGGGCTGGGAGGAGAGGAGAGTGGTGGGGATGGGCTCGAGGGAGCAGGTGATGGGCTTCAGGAAGTATGGGAAGAGGGGGAGACAGAGTTCTATAGGGAGGGTTGGAGGAAAGGCAGGGCATGAGGGGGAGGTGGCGAGTGGGCAGTAACGACACAGAGCGCTTATCTAAGCAGGAGTGAGATCTCCTTTTTAGGAGATTTGGTCAAATGGTTTTGGCTGGTTCACTTCTCCAGTCTCCTGTTGCACATTGGTATCTAATTTATGGTCCTGTGTCGGAAGTGTCTTTGGCGAAGAGGTTAATGTTTCCAAACATCAACATTCGTCATACGTCTAAGATTCCTGACTGAGCAATGTTCTAATTGGAGCCACAGTGTGTCTCTTCATTGTGTATGTTTTACGACTGGGGGAAATGAAACCCAATCTGTTGGTTGAAGGCAAGGATGAAATGCTTGCTCCTATTGGGGGTGTGTGTGTGTGTGTGGGTGGGGGGGTAAGGGTGGGAGGGAGAGAGGGGAATAGCCGCTAAGGTTTGTCACTCCTATAATAGAAGAAATCTAAGTATTGCTGCCATCATGCGCAACGATTCCTTTTTTTAAAAAGCTTCACATTTATTTGTGTAACCCCATACAGCCATTATATAAATCAGGAATACAGGGGAAAGCCAGTTCAAAAGTCCAAATGACTAAAAGGAAAGGAGTTGAGTTAATCATTTAACTCCAAATGATTTCTGAAAATTGCCTAACAAATACTTAACATACTAGAAATGGAATTATCACAGATGGGAACATTTGATTTTTATTTCGAGTCACATCTTTGGCGCTGTCTTGTGTGCAGATCCCAATCGATCCACATCTCGAAAACGTAGGGCAGAGAAAGATTGGATGGTCGAGTGAATTAGGGACAGTTCCTACCGCACACCCAACATGAACACAAGTCTCAATGAGACTGGAAAGAATTATTTTTTCCACGGGCTAGGAGATGTATAGAATAGAATGCATTCCAGGCATGAACTTACTCCTTAAATAAGGAATCTGTAATAATATCTGGCTAAGAATGAGACTATAGGTTATAAGGATAATTATTGATGAGGAGATTAATTTGCTGTGACGTTCTTATGGCGCCAGTTCTGACAGAACTTTGGAAACTTCATCTGAAAGAATGCAGTCAATTTGGGGTTGAATAATACAGAATGTAATGCTCCATTTATACTGAAGACCCTTCATTTAATTTCCCTTTGGTTAGGGAAGAATATCGGTTTCATTCTCTAAACTAATAATTTATGGTTATCGGGAGATTAAATTGACGAGGCAGATTACACACGCAGTGATCCATTGCAGAGAAACAAAGGCATATTACCTTTTCTCATTTCGCCCCAAAACATACAGTCGCTAGACTTTACAGTATATTCTGTGAAGTGCTTTGAGACGTCTTGAAGACATGATAAGGCGCTAACTCAATTGCAAAGATTAAATGCAAGAATTATTATTATCACTTCTTCAATCTGTATTTTTCTTATGCTTAAAATCAGGACCCTGACATTTGTGGACAATGCTGTTCAACAAAGATCCGGTGAAAGATGTTTTGTCCTAGAGAGACCCCAAGTTATTTATTTTAAGTCTATTTATTTTTGCTCGTGGGTGACTTTTGAGTTTTATTTTAACAGTTGCCAATGCACCTTACTAAAACAAACAGGTTAAATCTTCCCGATAATTACTCTGTACGGGTTTATATTTGTGGAAGTTGCACTCAGATAGGATTTCAAGAAACAAAGGCATCTGTTAACCTAAATGTCTCTTTCCAAATAAGTATGCTTGTTCTGAAATTGTTTTTACAATTTTTTTTTAAACATGTTTCATTCAATTCTTGAACCACATTGAACGTTTTGTTTCCAGGAAACTCATATGAAATATAATTCTCTTTGGATTAATTTGGGCTCTGCATGTTTCCCATAATTTGTGATCTTACCCAATATCTGTCATCATCGTTCCACCCCCCCCCCCACCACCACCACCCCCCACCCCAGCCCCTCTTTCTTAGAAGAGCAAAAGTGGTGTCTAATGCAAAATGTTCCTTGCAAATTAACTGTGCTGTTTAGCAGCGCTTGGGATCTTCCCGACTTCAGTCGAGGTTTGATTCTCCAGTAAGAGCTTTCCATTGTTCCATACTCCTAATGGAAATGTACAACTGGTAACAACAACGACTTGCATTTACACAGCGCCCCTCACGTCCCAGAGCGCTTGACATTGGCGGAGCACAAGGCCGAGCCGGGGTCGGGGGCTGGGGGGTGACCGTAGGCACGGTCAAAAAGGAAGGTCTTCAGGCACAACCTGAAAATGGGGAAAGAAGGGGCAAGCAGAGGAATAGAGGAAGAGTATTCCAGAGTTTCGGGGCACAGTGGCTGAAAGTGCAGCCACCAATAGTGGAAAGGAGGGCACGGAGGACAGTAACAACAGAACAGTGACAGTGTTTATAATAATGTCCGTGGGATGTCTCAAGGTGCTTCACAGGATCTTCTGTGAAGACAGTGCATCTCATGGGTACCTGAATGTGGCAGCCAGTTTGCACACAGG